CCGTGGCAGTATGCTGTGGAGATGGAGGCAGGGAGTCCCTCGCATTCCTTGGCACAAATGGCCCATAGCATGCTCGGTTGCTTGCGTAGCGACAGCCGAATAATAACCATCAGACAGAGGGATGACTTTTGGCTGTCCACCTTGTTGGACCCTCGCTACCGTTCAAAAATGGTGGCCTTTTTCACACCTGCTGAGAGGGAGGCCAAAATAAAGTACTATAAAAACCACCTATGTAGTCAGTTGGTCTCTGCCTTTCTGCGCCAACGTCCATCCTCAGACACTGTGGGCCCTGTGCGCTCGCGTTCCGCTGCCATGGCAGCAGGGGAGGGGTGGGGTGGTAGGAGCAGTGGCAGCTCCACCAGCAGCGGCTGCCTCAGTCTGCAGTCGATGATGAGTAGCTTTCTTCACCAGCGCAGTGAGGAAACTACTAACCAGCCGCAGCAGCAGCAGCATCAGGTGGACCTGGAGCAGGACCTCAAACAACAGGCTTGGGCCTACTTGGACAGCACCCTGCCAACCGAGGTAGACAATCCCTTGACTACTGGGCAACGAAACTTGACCTTTGGCCCCAACTAGCTGAATTTGCCCTTGAAAGGCTGTCATGCCCGGCCAGTAGCGTGGCATCGGAGCGCGTGTTTAGTGCGGCAGGAGGTATTGTAACTCCGCGGAGGACACGACTGTCCACCCAAAGTGTGGAGAGACTCACGTTTGTGAAAATGAATCAGGCGTGGATTAGTCTGGATTTCAAACCACCAGTTCCTGACACAACTGACTAAATCCGCCATGAATCATGCCCCAAACATGTTTATTAGGGACAAATGGAAGACCTCCACCTGATCCGTACATTTGTATATATATTTTATTGAGAGGCTGCTGGTCGGCCGACTCATGTTTTGCACATTTTTAATGACTTATACTCTGCAGGTCGGGCCCCTCATGAATGGGGTTTTTAAATTATTTATACTTCGCTGGAACATGAATTGAACCTTTTTAATGACTTATACTCTGCTGGTCGGGCCCCTCATGAATTGGTGTTTTTAAATTATTTATACGTCGCTGGACGACTGTCACATGAATTTAAACTTTTTAATTATTTATAGTCGACCAGTTCCAGACCGATGGAATAGCAATTTTTTTAAATATTTATTTGACACGTGTTGTCCATCTCATCAATGAGGTGGACTGTTTATTTATTGGCCACGGTTTGGCCCCCTCCTGTTTCTTACATTGTTAACTTGTTGTATCGGTCACGGTTTGGCCACATGTTTGGTTGTCTTGTTAAGATTTTCTGTAATGTACACAGTTACGCTTGACTTGTCGACTTTCCACAATCTACTAAGGTATAGCATCGCATCAAAGTTTTTTTTTTTTTTTTTTTTTTTTTTTTTTTTTTTTTGGTCTAAACCATTTCTTATAATGTCAATTTGTAGGATACGCCGCTGTAAGGCGACCTACTTTTTTATCACTGTGTAGACATCTATTTATAGGCCGATGTTTGGCCAGAAAGATATATTTAGTAATAACCTAGCCGTTCAAGCCGCTCACTGAACACCTCGGGAATTGCTTTGTATATCTGTCTCCTTAGGGGCCGCTGTCTGGCGACATAATTTTTTGTCACTGTGTAGACATCTATTTATAGGCCGATGTTTGGCCACAAAAAATATATTTAGTAATAACCTAGCCGTTCAGGCCGCTCCCTGAACACCTCGGGAATTGCTTTGTATATCTGTCGCCTTAGAGGCCGCTGTCTGAACAGCTCATGAATTGCTTTCTATATGTGTCGCCTTTGAGGCCGCTGGCTGGACAGCTGATGAATTGATTTGTATATATATGTACTTATTGTCCGCTGTCCGGACAGCTCATGAATTACTTTTTGTATATAGCCTTCCAAACCACTCTCAGAAATAAGTCATGATATTCATGCTGTGTATAGCCTTATAGGCCAATGGTCAATCAAGTCATGATTGTTATAGTGTGTATAGCCTTATAGGCCGCTGTCTTTACAACTTTATAATTCCATGCAGTATATAGCCCTATCGGCCACTTTCTGGCATCCAGTTGCTGCTGTAGCCCCCATCACCACACTGTGCCACGGGCCCCTGTACCGCCTTCTCATACTGCTGCCAGATCCATCCTCTGCCATGTGCGTCTTTGTCGTCTGCTCACGCTGCTGGGTTCCAGTTTTTAAAACCTAGGCCTGTGTATGGCTTCCAATACTGCTGCCTCCACCGCCACCCTGCGCCATGTGCCTCTGTCGTCTGCTCACGCTGCTGACGGCTTCCGCTTTTTAAATAGTCTGTGTATGTCTTCCGAATACTGCTGCCTCCACCGCCACCCTGCGCCATGTGCCACTTTCGGGTCTCCTCACACTGCTGCCAGGTCCATACTGATTCATGGCCCCCTGTACCGGCTCCTCATGAACGTGGTTCAGCGGGTTTGCATCACTTAACGGCAAATCGTTGACAAACGCTGGGACGTTCAGTGTTGTGCGCATTAAGCCAGACACCAAAGGGCAGCACAGACCTGTTATTACTCGCTCAAGCATGGCTGAACAAAACCAGTCTCTACCACAAATTGGACCCAGACCTGCCCAGGGTCTCGTAAGTAGATTGCACGGAGGAGTAGAGTTCGTTATTGGAATTAACTGTGAGGGACTTTTAAAACCTAGGCCTGTGTATGGCCTTCAATTGAAGCTGCTTCTGCTCCGCCACTCTGCCATTGGACTCTTGATAGTCGTCTCCCCACGCTGCTGCTGGGGGGACTTTTTAACATAGGCCTCTGTATGGCCTTCAATTTTAGCTGCTTACGCTCCGCCACTCTGCCATGGGCCCCTGTACCGCCTCCTCATGCTGCTGCTGCCAGGCCCGTAATCTGCCATGGGCCCCCGTACCGACTCCTCATGCTGCTGCCAGGCCCGTAATCTGTCATGGGCCCCTGTACCGCCTCCTCATGCTGCTGCCAGGTCCAGAGTGTGTCATGGGTCCCTGTACGGCCTCCCATTGCTGCTGTCTTCATCGCCACACTCTGCCATGTGCCACTTTCAGGTCTCCTCACACTGCTGGTGGGTTCCATTTTGTCATAGGGTGCTGTATGGCCTCCCATTGCTGCTGCCTCCACCGCCACACTGTGGCTCCACACTCTGGTTTTGGCCCCGTGACTGCCCAAATGAGTGAAGTGTGCGGTGATTCTAAGATCGACGGCACTCATCTGCATGTCATACTGACTGACAGTATTATTTCTCTTCCCCAGCAGACTCCAAGGGCATTTAAATTAAAGGTACAGTGTTCTGCACTAATATAAAGGCTCTCTGAAGCCTAGAAACACCCTTTTTATAAGTTAAATTCGCAGCGAATATATTCGGCTGGAAGTGAATTTATTCGGCGAATTCGGCGAATCAGCCGAACCGAATTTTTGAATAATTCGCTCATCTCTACTCATCGGTCCACAGAACTTGTTTCCAAAATGCATCAGGCTTGTCTATATGTTCATTTGCAAAGTTCAAACGATGATTTTTGAGGTGAGGACGTAGAAGAGGTTTTCTTCTGATGACTCTTCCATAAAGACCATATTCGTACAAGTATCTCTTTATAGTGGAATAATGTACCACAACTCCAGTGTCTGCCAGATCTTTCTGGCGGGATCGTGCAGTCAAACCTGGGTTTTGAATTGTTTTTTCTCACAATCCTGCGAGCTGTTCTTTCTGATATTTTTCTTGGTCTTCCAGATCTTGCTTTAACTTCCACTGTTCCTGATGACTGCCATTTCTTAATTACATTCCGAACAGAGGACATTGACATCTGAAAACGCTTTGCTATCTTCTTATAGCCTTCTCCAGCTTTGTGGGCGTCAACTATTTTCAGTTTCAGTTTTCTAGACAACTGCTTAGAAGAACCCATGGTGCTGATTGTTGGGGCAAGGTCAGATGAGTCTGGGCATTTAAAACCTTTGAGATTGACATCACCTGGTCTTTCCAGACGATTGAGAACAATCCATGACACTGGCAGGTCTCAGCTTTGCAAAGGGGGCAGTGCATGCTATAAACTCTGCAGGGTGCCCAAACTTTTGCAGACGCCATTTTTTTGTTTTCTGTTATTTTGAAAGTGTAAATGATGGAAATAAAATCTAACTTTTGTTGACATATTATAAGAATGTCTAATCTGTAATTTGATGCCTTTTGGAGATTTTTCCATCTTTCCTTGGCTTCTTTATGCACATTAATACAAATTTTTAGCTGGGGTGCCCAAACTTTCGATCCCCACTGTATACTGTCAGCCCAGATTCAGCCAAATGCAGCAAAGTTGATTGGATGGTGCTTCACAGTACAGATGGACAATGAGCCAATGAGGGACTGTGTATAAAAATGGTTGCAGTTCCTAAAATTTGTACTTGATATTTAAGTTCATCCCCTTCAATTAAAGCTGAAAGTCTGCACTTCAAGGTCATTTGGATTGTTTCGTTCTAATTTGTTCTGGTGGGATACAGAGCCAAAAGTATGAAAATTGTGCCTGTGTCCAAATATATGTGTGTAACTGTATTTACTTGGCGCAATTTTGTTTTTTATATTTTTTACCAAAAATGTGGGTAATTTATTGCATTTTGTTTGCCCTAAAGTGTGTGTGTGTGTGTCCATTAGGAGTAGAAAATGCCCTGCCATCGAAGGTTCTACACCATGCCATGGGCTTGGTGGTAAGTGGGAGTGAAAAAAAATTACATCATTGGTGTCCATGGGAGGATTTGTACCCCATAATTGGTGTCAGTGGGCGAAATAGTACCCCATAATTGTGTCGGTGTAAGGGACAGTCCCCCCAAGAGCCAGATAAAGGCAAGCAAAGTATGAAGATCCCTGCTCTAATGTTTTGACAGTCATTGTGTTACATTGCTGCAAAGGTTTTCTGTGGAAATCAGTTTAAAGTTAAGAAACTTGGGTTTATGTCTGCAGCTTGTTCTTATTACTGAAATGGGGTGTTTTTTTTGTTTTGTTTTGTTTTTTTTCCCCCCAGATGAGAGTGGGATAGCCTCTACAGTACAGTTTGGCAATTCATCAACATCTGTGCTGGCTACATTGGCAGCTTTAGCAGAAGCATCTGCTCCATTATCTAATTCTTCAGAAACTCCAGGTGTGTATCTCTGGAAACACTTTCAAGTTGCCTTTTTATTGTGTGTAAAACCGCTTACAGGCGCACAAAGCTGTAGTCTACATGGTGCCATTGAATGTTTACCACGTGAAACATAAGCATGTGCATTAGCCTTTGTATTTGTATCCCTTGCTTGTTTATATATCCCTTTTTTATTAGAATACTAATTTTCTCTACACATTTGTAGCCACCTATAGATCACTATACCCCTTTCAGTGTCAATGTGTCCATATGTCAACTTGATTCTTTATGCAGTATTGGTGCATCTATGCTTTTTATTTATTTGAAATCTATACCTGTCTGCTATATTTTATTTATCATTCTTTTATTGACTCATCGTGCAGTTAATATAATAAAAGTTAATGTTTATTGCCTGACCAAAAGCAGTATACTTTTCATATTGTTTCAGTCCAATACATTTTGAAATTGTGCAGTTTATTACCATATAATGTAGTTATGCTTCATGCTTGCAGATTGAAAGACCCTTCATGGCAAGGATGACTGTCTTTGAAACATAATGGCACAATTAATTGTAGAGATGAAAGCTTGAATCATAGTAGGAATATGTCTGATCTCAGAGTCCAGCTGTGACGTAAAAGTAGAGGCTTCAGATTAACTCTGCAATAGAAAAGCTTCTTGCTGTGCTAGGAATATAAACAAAATCAAAGAGATCATTGGTGGATGTTTGAGTAGCTAGTCTTTGTTGCAGATAATTGCGGCATAATTTGACTGTTGGCTTTCAGTTAGTCAAGAGAAACTGCTTGTCTGTCTGTATTTCATTCTGAAATTTAGTTGTAACAGACACAGTAAAGTATTTGACTAAAGTTTATATTTTCTTGTGGGACAAATAGTTCTGGTACATACATATTTAATAGTAAACTACATTTTTCTGTGTGTGTTTTAAGCTGATTGTTTTAAAATCCTAGAGCGAAAATGTAATATATTGTATCTTACCAAGTCCTTAGATGTGGTGGCTGATCTCATTTCTGATCCTGCCAGTAACATACATCCTGTCCTTGGGTGACAACCCTTTACTGTATTGTATTTATAGAGATAGTATCATCCTAGGACAGGAATTATGTTCGGACTACAGAAAACCTCCTAACTTTACAGACTACCCTATGACCATGTTCTAGATAAGACTGCAGAGTGCACACAGTATGCTAGATTTCTGACAGTATTCATTGATATTTTTTTGCACTTGATGTACAGATATAACACATTTTCAATAGTATTTTAACCGACTAAAATGGAGTAAGTAATAGATGTTCATTGTTAGGGTTTACATAATCTTTAACCTTGCTAATTTGAATGCCATGATAAAATAATGAAAATAAACCAGTAAATGTAGTCTTTTTAAAGGGAAATGTTACCATTTATTGTTTGTTTCAAGTGCTAATAACATTCTCATAAAAATGGATTTAATCTGAATGTGAGTTAATGATTTTTTTAATTTACCCTCCACCCCCTTTGCTGAATTTTCTTTATTAAAAATGTTAGTTGTCTGGTTCTTATGTTGGTTTGTTGGCTTTTGTACTTTCAATTGCTGACCTAAAACAAGTATGTACAAAGCTACTACATGCTTGTTCTGTCTCATTGAAAATATTAAAGCCAAAAACGAGACCATTGGAAGTTGATTATGACAGTCTTGGAAACTGAATTCCTTGGGGAAAAAGGCAAGTCTTGAAGAACTGTATAATATTGAATTAAGATGCAAATAGATTGCATCTACACAGGGACCACATCTATGCATTCAATAAATAAGTGTAGCTCATCCTATAAACACAAATTCATTCACCAATTATAAACATACGTTGATTCATAAAAGAAGTCTATATGCTTCAGTTACCACTGATTTAGAAACATGCATAATGTAATAAAGTGTTTCTGTGCTGCCAACTATTGATAAACATCTATTTCATGACTTTGTGTTTCTAAGATACATAAAAAAATACAAGTGTCCCTATGCTCAAGCTGTGCTTTAATCAATATTTTAAACTTTTACAACCATTAGCAGTAGGATAACCATTGATAAAGTCCAGAGGACGCAACGCGTCAGAGAGGCAGGACTAGTGATATCTTCCCTCACGAGAAGGTGAAAAACAAGTTGCTCTGCAACTATCCATAGCGGATATCTCAGATCCACTTGTATACACAGCATTGTATGGGGAAGTGTAATGTAAGTGATTTTATTTCATATAATCTAATAGAGATGGTACACCCTCTGAGATCTTTTTCATCCTTATGACCTTACCTGAGGCTTTGTGACATCGCTGTATTTGTGGGCTTATGAAGAGAACTTCTGGAGCCAGCTGGAGAGGGGGCTGAGATTCCCAGAGGAAGGCTTGTAAAGCTGAGCAGTTATTGACCTTTTATTGAGAGTAGGATCCACCATGTAGTGTGGGGTCACAGAGCTCACTGTGGAGATTGGAAGAGTTGCACTAATGTACAGGTTCTGAAACCGTTTTTTGTGGTGCATGACTTTGCAAGATTGGAGATTGGAGCACTGCTAATGGTTGCGTAAAGTTAAGATCAGGCATGTCCAAAGTCCGGCCCGCGGGCCATTTACGGCCCGAGGGTCGGTTTAATACGGCCCTCCATGTCAGTGTGTCTTATGGAGCGAATATGGAGCGGCCGGTCCGGTATTTCCACTGCGGCCGTGTCAGAATACCGGGCCGGCCGCTCAGCTCTGCAGCGGGACCTTACCTGTTCCTCTATCCAGCGGCGCGCTGTCTTCCCGGCTTCTGTAGTGTGGGCGCTGGGCATGACAGCCGGGTGCCAAGTGCGCATGCGCAAGAAGCGGTGCTTTTTGTGAATGGTAAGGCGGTACCTGGGACACATGACAGATCCCAGAAGCCGCCGGACCAATCACAAAGCGCAAGTGCTTCTCGCTCATGCGCACTGGGCACCCGGCTGTCATGCCGAGCGCCATTACAGAAGCCGGGAAGACAGCGAGCGGCTGGATCGAGGAACAGGTAAGATCAAAGAACAACTGCGGAAGTAAGAGCTGGTACCTGTCAAATTCAGGTACCCGCTCCCCACCTCCCCAAAGGTCAGCAGTCATCTGTACTGTCCGCAGTCTCTGGTCATCCCTGTGCTGTCCGCAGTCTCTGGTCATCCCTGTGCTGTCCGCAGTCTCTGGTCATCCCTGTGCTGTCCGCAGTCTCTGGTCATCCCTGTGCTGTCCGCAGTCTCTGGTCATCTCCTGTACTGTGTCTGCAGTCCATTAGTTCAGAATTTTTTTTTTTCCTGTTTTCTGCCTCTAAAACCTAGGTGCATCTTATGGTCAGGTGCGTCTTATACGGCGAAAAATACGGTAACTTGGCATAAAATAATTTATTTGCATTTAATTGTAATGGTTCAAAGAATGTTTGGAAAAATGTTCGGCCCTCCACCATGTTCACTTCATCCAATCTGGCCCTCTTTGAAAAAAGTTTGGACACCCCTGGTTAAGATTGAAACACAATTTGACGATTTTACACTTTCATGTATTTTGTTCTGTTTTCTAAAAGCACAAAGACACTTAAATGTTTATAAAGTAGATATTTGTCAATAGTTGGCAGCGCAAAAACCCTTTTTTAATGAGTTGTACATTACAACAGAGCGAGGCCCTGCCACTGAAAATGGCTGGAAAAAGGATACAGGGTTCGCACTTGTCTCACTATTTTGGTATTCCTGGATTGAGTTCTGTAGTTTGGAGATTTCGAAAATGTCTTGGGAGGAAAAATCTCCAACCCAGTGTCTGGGTTTTGTTGAAGACGAGCAGGGTGTGTCCAGGTTCACACAGCCCTTATAATAAAGGTCTGAGAGTAGCTCAGCAGGAGGAGTTGCTACCATTTGAAGACAGCCCTGTCAGGACAGCTTGGAGTTCCTGCCGGAGACTACATCCCTTGTGAGGGGGATTCCTTGGCCAAGGACTGGGAAAGTCATGACGGCTACGCGGGTCTGTGAGGCTGAGTCGACTAGTGGGTCTGGGGGCTAGAGGGAATCTGGAAGTCTTTTAGAGAGAGCAAGTTCGAGGGGCTTGCAAATGTTATCAGGAGGCCAGGAGTTGGGCCTGTACAGCAAGGTGCTGCAACCAAGGCTGAGAGAGCCTGAATAGCCTGTGGTCTGGGAGACCAAGCGGCAGTGCTGCTGACAAGGGAGCCAGGTAGCTCAGTATTTTCAGCTGATCGATTTGTTTTGCTGTAGCTGAACAATACAAGTGGGCTGCCATGGCAAAGTGATATTAAAAGCTTGGGCTTTAAAAAATAAAAATTACCTGCTCTGTGCAATGGTTTTGCACAGAGCAGCCTCGATCCTCCTCTTCTGGGTTTCCCTGCTGGCTCCTTCCTCCCGCTGAGTGCCCCCAGCGCAAGCCACTTGTTCTTGGGGGCACTTATGCATGTTCTTTCCCGAGTCCTGCTCTGTGCGTCTCTGGGATAGAAAGCACAGTGCAGCAGCCCTGTCGTCCCCCCCCCCCCCCCCCCCCCCCCCCCTCGCTCGCTCCTCATTGGCTGTTATTGACAACAATGGGAGCCAATGGCAGCTGTGCCTCAGCCAATGAGGAGAGAGAGACCTGGGATAGCTGAGGCTCCCGTGCACAGCGCTGAATCGAGATCCATGCTCAGTAAATATTAGAGGGGCCGTGGGGAGAGCAGCACACTGTTTTTTTTATTTTACCTTCATGTGTAGAATTTATGAAGGTAAAAACCTGCAGGTTTTACAACCACTATAAACTGAAGCTCTGACATGAACCGTTCACCACATTGAGTCTAATCTCCCCATATCAACATGTTTATAATCTGCTGTAATTGGAGCACAGAGACACTTTTACATCATTAATTGGTCAATGAATTGGTATATAAAGAAGCTCTCTACTGTTATTCATTGATTATCATTACACTATGTTTTAGTGATGTTCACAGGGGTGTTTTTAGCAACTCCTAATATATAAATAGTATAAGAGTGTTGCTTTATAACTTATTGATAGCAGTGCAGCTCTACTTAAAAACTTTTTATATTTTTTTTATTTTTCCCATCTATTCATTGCAGTACATTGGGTTGCTCAAAAAGCTTGGCAGGTTCTTTCTTATGCACAGAAGCTTGTTAATGCGGAAATCTACTCCACTTCAGTTCAGTGATGTGATTTCCACAATAACTCTTGTCTGACATTGACCTCTTTACCCAGTCTATCTGGGTTCTGATCTTTGAACGTTTTGATTGGGGGGATCGGACCACACCATTTTTATGAATTTTTTAACTCTTACTAATGGTGCGAATGGGCCCTAAGAAGAGTTAAAGGGGGAAGGAAACGAGGAATAATATAAATTGTTGGCGCTTTCTAAAGTGGTCATTGTAATCTACATGTGCTTTTTCTTTATAGTGGTGGCTACAGAAGAAGTGGTAACTGCTGAGTCTGTGGATGGTGCTATTCAGCAGGTTGTTAGCGCTGGTGGACAGCAAGTCATCACGATAGTGACAGATGGTATCCACCTTGGCAATCTTCAGGCTGCCATTCCATCCACTGGCCTATCACAACCAATTATTGTCACAATGCCAGATGGCCAACAGGGTAAGTAATCTATAAGGCATTCTTTTGCTATAGTATTTCTGAGAGCTATGCTTCCTATATCATCAAGGGCAAATAAGTATGGTAAGTTATCGCACAAAATTAGATGCCCATCATGTCATTTTAAAAATTGCATAAATGTAGTGGGTGCAGGTTTCACCTGCACAAAATTTTGGCTAGCCATTTACTGTTCTCTTTTCGCAAAAAAGATATTTGTAGCCTAGCGTACTTTAGGTTTTAGTTGTCTGCATGTATGATCTAAATACGGAATACCTTTTCCAATGGTGAGATTGCATTTTAAACCGTGGAAGAGGGTTTGCAAATGGTCTTTTCTATGTAAACCATTTAATATTCTTCTTTTGTAGTGTTGACTGTACCAGCAACTGACATTGCAGAAGAAACTGTGATTAGTGAAGAGCCGCCTCCTAAAAGACAGTGCATTGAAATAATTGAGAATCGTATGGACTCTGCAGAGATAGAGGTATGTTTATCAGTCTGATACATTTGCATAGCAAAGTACCATAAACTAATTGATGTGCTGAGATGTTCATTTATGAATGTGTAATGGGGTCTGTCACGATATAATACCGTAGGCCTGCTGTAGAGAAGTACACACTGTATTAGTTTGACAATGTACCCTCTTCAGTCACCTTTTTCTAGTGATCATTCTTCACCGAGCAATATTTGGATAACTGACCATTTTACATTCTTGTAAGAAAGTTGTTGCTTACTGCAAAATAATGTGGAGCAGTTTGACATGGCATTGGATATCCTTCTAAGATTTGCATAGCACAATCAAAATATACATCCCATTTGTCCCATTCTCATTGTTCCCTACAGATGCAGAGGTATTGTTTCTCTGCCTAAATTAAACTTCTCTGGCATACACTAAATATGGCACCTGTACTATGAGAGTTCTGGAGAATTGTATTTTTCTTTTAATTATTTATTTATAATTAAAGCTATAGATACAGTTTGCTGCATATAAAAATTGAGCAACCTAGGCTGGCCGTTTAATGAATTTTGTGGGCTATCATGTAAATGACTGCTCATATTTTAGTGCATTATGTTATTGATACCCATTTTAATGGTTTTGATGCTTGGTAATTTGTTCCTCTCTGTTGTGCAGTCTGTGGAAGGAAGATACGTTATGAATATACAGTATCTCTGATTTACATCATCTCTGATTTTACCATATACATGATGTGAAAGTGCCTTCAGCTGTCAAAGGTGTGCGGTTCTTATGAATTAACAGAACTTATGGGTGTCACTTTCCAGGACTTCCACCATCTTTTATTGGATTGTTCTGTTACACCTGTCTTACAGTCTTCCCATTTTATTGCTATAGTGGCTGCAAATGTTATTGCAGTATAAAGAAACCTTTAACGCTCCCTTCTTGGGGTATTGTTTTGAGGCCTTCTGCATGCCACTCTGGGAGTAAATGGTGCAATTCTGTCAAATTATTTTGTATGTAGTTCATGCAGCAAGGCCATCTAAATGTACTTTTTTTTTTCTTCTCTCTTTAAGTGTACTGTACTTCTAAAATGTTTCTATAACTTGTGTTTAAGTTTTGAGAGACCTGTGTAGATTGGAGAAAATTGTATGTTTTGTAAATAGTATTACAATAAAATTGGCCAAATAAATCAAACATTTTATGATCATTAAATTAAAGGGTCCTTATATATTGGACCCCTTGATAAGCATTTAATCCCCAGTACTGAAAATATAAAGATTGTTTTCTTCAAGTGTACCATCACAGTATCCCAGTTAAGGTGGGAGTAACTTTCAGCACAGAACCTAGCTAAAAAGTTAGACAATATTGGTCCCCATAACCACCAAGATGACATGAAAATACTTAATGCAATTAGTATCTTATTACACAACAGGACTTGAGGGGTAAAGGAATACTCACATAAGGTAAATATTTGTTTTAACTGAAATAAAACCTCCAACTATAGTTACATGTAGAGACTGCTAGCAACATTATGAGGGCCCATACATAAATGGATAGCTGCCGCACAGTAAACCGCTGCTGTTTACAGTGTGGCAGTGGTCTGTTTTGCCTACAGTGATCCAGCGGAAGAGGGCGGTGCAGTGTGTGGTTTCAGTGCATCACAGTTCCCTTCCAGTGCAGAAACATGCTGGTCACTGCACTATGTGTGAAATGGTCCTTAAACTTGTCACTATAAAACATGCATTAATAAATAGGTCAAATTACTGTAATTTAGTGATTTCTCCCTCTCCGTTTCATTATCATTTGTCAGAGGCTGTTGATTACCTTGAGCAGATGAAGAGCTTTGGGCAGAGGTGAGGAAATTAGTCTTACCAGTGTTTTTTAGAGTGATGTAGATGCAGGTTCTATTCCATTGGAGAAACCATTTATACTGGATAATATTGCCTTCGTAACTTTAGGTTCTGCACTGAGGCTTATGTTTCACCTTACTCAGGGCCAGTTCACACCAGGAATTGCAAAGTAACTCTACATTCCTGCACAATTCGCGTGCGGCTTAGTGTGATGTGATTTGAGCCCATTCATTTGGAACGGCTGAATCGGAAAGGACCACAGCAAAAGTAGTGCACTTCTTTAGAAAAACAGACTGCATAGTACCATTGTATCATGCGATCCAGTGCAGGCAAGCGCACTGCATTTGAAACCTGCATTTAAGGTGTCATTACATTAACGTTGAACATATATTAAACGTCTGCCACACCTTCCTTTTTTTTTTTTTTTTTTTTTTTTTTTTTTTTTTTTTTTTTTTTTTTTTTATAATTCCAGTTCCAAAAAAAAAAAAAAAAATAATATATATATATATATATATATATATATATATATATATTTATACATTTTAATGCAATATAGAATATATGCAATGTCCATATTATCCCAATTCTTCTGAATAATCACCAGTGGGCTTATAATTGATGCCTTCTAGTGCTCCCCACCACCATTCACCATATGCACTATATAGGTGGACCTACTAGATTTTCAGGTCAAACATGCTTTCCCCTCACAGGGGTGGTTGTTGTTGTTGTTAGATCCTTTCCCTTGATGTCTCTCCTGGAGCACTTGGCTTTTTTTCCCTCTGTTAGGGGTCCTGTGTCAACACCCAAAAAAACTAGAGTTGAGTGCATATGGTGAATGGTGGTGGAGAGCACTAGAAGGCACTAATTATAATCCAGAAGAATTGGGATTATATGGACATTGCATCACTATTAACAAGGACATTGATTTATTTTATTTATTAATAATGAACAGAATTACTCACTATATTGTATATATTTTGATTGGATTATACAAGGAAGGCGCTGCATTAGTTTAATTTTTGTATATTGTTTATGTAGGTTGTGGGAACGCAATGAACTGCAAGCAGCCTTGATTGCTTTATACAGACACATGCAAACAGCATTGATATATATATATTGTATTTACGTTAACACATTGAGGATTTTAGTTGATTAACATATTGATAGCCTGGGATAGACACATTCTAAAAAAAAATTTCATTAACTTCACATAGATACCTGTTGCAGATTGCAACTAGTGTGTGTTGTTTTTTTTTTTTTTTTTTTGGGAAACACACAGAACGCGGGATGCCTGCACTGGGTTCTGGTGTGAACAGGTACTGAGTGACAGTGGTGGTATACTTAAAGATGTATATCTATATACATTTGGAAATGTTTATTTTTATATGATGTGAATAGACACTTCTTTTTATATGTGTATTAGTATCAGTGTTTATAGAATACTGTAAATAAGTTGCACAGATGTTCTATTTTTTTTTTTTTTCCCTTAAGACACCAGATCTGATTACAAATAAACGTTTTTACAGAAGAAATTGTCAGGTATTCCTTCATTGAAGTTACTACATTACGTTACCTTTTTTAAATTTTCTTTTTATGGAATTCTGAATTCTCGCTTAAGATGCTTTCATTAGTGTTAATATATTGTCAAAGCATGTTTGAGAACCAATCTGGGTTTAATTTTCTGTTCCATAACTTTTTTTTTTTTTTTAAGTTGATGAAATTTATTGTGACAAGCAAACATCGGTCGACTTGAATGTTTAATTAAGAAGGTTCTTTGACAGGCAGATTGCCTTACTGATTCAAATTAGAATGACATAGCACACATCACATCTCCTCAGCAGTTCTCCCCACCTGTGTTGGTGGTCTGTTTTTGTTCTTGCAACCCCCATTTTTTTTGCAAATGCAACTTTAATGGCCATTGATTTTGACCCTATTTCTTGCTTGGTTTAATCTCTGGACAATGTCATAGTTGAGGATTACCAATGATACTTGTTTTCCTATGCTATTGGATGGATTAAAGCAGTATTAAACCCAAACAAACTTCTAGATATTGCAGTGTACCAAATGTTGGATGTGGTGGCTGCATTAGTTTTTCTTTCTCTTTTTTTAGGTTTATTTTCCTTTTTTTCACCTTGTCATCTGACCAGTTACACACTTCCCTATTAGGGTGTCTCCACCCTGAATAAAAGAGCCAAACTAGGACAGCAGCATTGTCAGTCTGGGGGAGAGGGTTGTGTTGGATGCTCTATCAAATTTAGATGGGTTTGACTATGTGGAGTTGAAGGAAACTTGCCCTGACTGACGTCCATAGTCTACTATTGTTAATTTGCTTTTAGAATGCCAGTTGCTTGGCTGCTGCTAGCTTGACTACTGCAAATCATTTGATCAGCTTAGATCAGGAGGTAGGCGAGCTTAAAGAGGTGGAAATCTAACTGAACAACATGGGAGAAGTCAAAGATCAACATGCAGTGTTGCCTCCTCACAGCTGGTTTACTTGTGTCGCAATCGTGTGCATTGCGCGGCAATCATGGGTTTAAGTCAGGTGGTGAGGAGGTAACATATCACCTCCTTGCCACCTGTCAAACACACTTGGATCACTTTTCAGAGGAGCAGCTGTGCCTGCTGCACATGTGAATGAGCCCTTAGTTGCATTCAGCAGCAGCACCTTTTAGGACTTCTTCAAGTTGGGTAGTGGTAAAACACTGCTGTTGAATTGGTGTTTTACTGTCCCCAATCCCTACCCCCTTTAGCTGTTGAGGCAGGAGCCAAATGTATACACATGCTGCACAAGGAATTGGACCCCCTGTTGCTTTTGGTGGGTGCTACCACCTGCCAGTCAGACCCATTTAAGCAAATGGAGCCACCCTGCAAGCGTCCCACAACTGCATGCTTCTGTGAGGTCCAAGGGGTTAAAGCAAGGTGTGAGAGAGCAACACATTGCTTTAACATGTTGTTTGCTGTACTGCACAAAGCTTGCAGGGCACTTGCAGAGCAGCCTCATTGACTTGAATGGATCATACTTAGCAGATGCTATACCCGCCAAGTATGACGGTGTATAGCTCCTACTGCAGCTGCAACATGTGTACACCCCTGGCCACTGCAGCTAAAGGGGGTGATAAAAACATGTCTTAACTGTGGGATTTTACCACCCCTCAAACTGTAAAGGTAAACTAACCTTTACTGTTCTGAGCTCCCCTATAAGGCTGCTTTCACACTGATGTGCTGCGATTTACCTGCACAGCGGTGCATCTGCTGTGCTTTGCCATAGACCTCTATTATATCCTGCAGGTGCGGTGCACCTTCTGAAAGTATACCAAAACTCCCTCATTCAGGAGTTTTGATGCACTTTAAGAAAGGTCTATGGCTAAGCGCGGCAAAGCTGCAGATGCACTGCACCCACGATGTGGGTAAACTGCACCACATTGGTGTGAAAGCAGCGCTGTACTATTATGCCCAGTGTACTGCTTCACACTGACCTGAAGATCTCTTCCTTCTGCTGGCACCACTCTGGAGACTGCTAACCAGGGTAAGAGGTGGAGTGCAGTTGGTATCACTCCGCATGGGACAGGAGCCAGCACTACAGGGGAGGCATCAGCTTATGCAACTCTTGCTCCCTACTACAGCTCCAACTTTACAAGTAGTCCCTCTGCACTGCACTCTGATGCTCCTGGATGGCGGTCAGCAAATCTGGACTGTGATCGACCAGTCATCTGGCTGCGATCTGCTGGTTGCCAACCCCCGACCTAGATGTTCTAGGTCAGTGACCCACATTATTAATGCCTTTTTGTACCACTATCACATGCAGGCAACCTAGATTTTTAGAAGGAAGTCACCAAAAGTTCCTATATACTTCTTCTTTGTACAGGCTTTCTTCATGTGCTGAAAATGAACACCTATTTTGTCAAGAGCTTTTCTTCCTGAGGTGCCATAACTTCTAGTGTGTGCTAAAGAAATGTAAAATGTTGTTTTGACATCATGAAATTACCCAGACATGTGCATTATGTGCAAATTATGCTTTTTAGTGGATAGAATACCTCATGAATGCATTTTTATGAAATGTCTGCATCAGAAGACCCAGTGAATTCATATATGAGGCTGCTGCAAACACCTATTATGCACTCACCGGCCACTTTATTAGGTACATCTTCTTAGTACCGGGTCGGACCCCCTTTTTGCCTTCAGATCCGATTTTAATTCCATGTGGCATAGACTCAACAAGGTGTTGGAAAGGCAACAGTAACTCATGCATGGACCAAAATCTGAGAAAAGTTTCCATCATCTCAAACCAGTCTGCCCATTCTCCTCTGACCTCTGACAACAACAAGGCATTTTCGTCCACACAACTGCCGCTCACTGGGTATTTTCTTTTTTTCGGACCATTCTCTGTAAACCCTAGATATGGTTGTGTGTGAAGAGCCCACTAGATCAGTTTTTAAATACTCAGACCAGCCCATCTGGCACCAACAACCATGCCACATTCAAAGTCACTTAAATCCCCTTTCTTCCCCATTTTGATACTCTGAACTTCAGCAAGTCGTCTTCACTGCTTCTAGATACCTAAATCCATTGAGTTGCTGCCATGTGATTTGGTGATTAGCAATTTGTGTTACCAAGCAATTGAACAGGTGTACCTAATAAAGTGGCCAGTGAATGTATAATATATGTATCTTCTAATACATTATTCATGACCGTATCACTGGACAGCTTTTTTTGGCAGCTGGGAGCTGCTGTAGATTTTCATTACACAGTGTTGAGTGACCTTTACTGTATGTGCCGGAGTCCCTCTGACATAAAGCCCTACCCATTCAAACTAGGTTACATACCACCCCTGTTTGTTGCAACACATACAGAAAGCTGCACCTCTATCCCAAGAAAGTGGAGAAAATGTTTTGAACTTTCACTTCTGTCAACAGAATGAGGGGACAATAGTTCATACATGAGCCAATGCATGGTGTTATAAAAAGTTTACTCTAAAAACACTCCAGGGTTTTACAGATGATTGATATTTACTGCAGTTTTCTGTTATAGAGGAATAGGTAAAAAAAACAAATGTATGACTATGTTGGAGGTGAAGGTATGGCCTTCCTTCCTGTCCGGTACAGTGTTGTCTGCAGGAAGACAGGGGAAGTTGAAAATCTCCTTAATGGTGCCTGAGATGGCAGTAAAAACCTGACACAGGTTCTAACCCTTTCCTACTCTATGCAAAACTGGAAAAAAATTATTTGGTACTTGACTCTAGAAGCCGTGCCAACCCCCCCCCCCCCCCCCCCAAAAAAAAAAAAAAACACAGGCAAAGGACTAGTCACCAGTATTGCCCATGGTCTCCTGGAAGCTGACTTGGCATGTATATAACACACTGTATTGTGGCTGTTTTGGGGCAATAATGTCTAAGATCTCATACTGCAGATATTCAGTCATGGGGCTGTAGGCACAGAAGAGAATTCCAAGAGTAGTTTTTTTCAGGGTATTGTTAAGACACACAAATGACATTTCTAAATGTTCCCTAAAACATAACTACCTATAACAAATGTTTATGAGTTCAGGTCTGCTTTAAAAGCCTTGATCAACATACGTGTGTGTGTGTTTGTGTAAACTCTTAGTGGCTTTTACATAATTATTTTTTGTCTCTTCACCTATACAACAAATGCTCTGTGCAGTGCTTAGCAGGTTTAGATGCAGCTCTTCTCATAACTGAATATTAATGGTTGCACTGCATTTAATGTAGCATGTTCCATGAATGCATAGGCATTGCAGAGCTTTGCATTCCTATGTGTAAGGGATCCAAGGATATAACAGGATTTTCACTTAAAACTGAACTCCAGCTATAATCTTAATTGCATAGTTACAATAGTTCAACTAGGATCAATTGAAGGTATGCATACAGTGGGGCAAAAAAGTATTTAGTCAGCCACCAATTGTGCAAGTTCTCCCACTTAAAAAGATGAGAGAGGCCTGTAATTGGCATCATAGGTAGACCTCAACTATGAGAGACAAAATGAGAAAAAATAATCAAGACAGACAATCACATTGGCTGATTTGGAAAGAATTTATTTGCAAATTATGGTGGAAAATAAGTATTTGGTCAATATCAAAAGTTCTTCTCAATACTTTGTTATATATCCTTTGTTGGCAATGACAGAGGTCAAATGTTTCCTGTAAATCTTCAGAAGGTTGGCACACACTGTTGCTGGTATGCTGGCCCATTCCTCCATGCAGATCTCCTCTAGAGCAGTGATGTTTTGGGGCTGTCGCTGGGCAACACAGACTTTCAACTCCCTCCATAGGTTTCTATGGCGTTGAGATCTGGAGACTGGCTAGGCCACTCCAGGACCTTGAAATGCTTCTTACGAAGCCACTCCTTCGTTGCCCGGGCGGTATGTTTGGGATCATTGTCATGTTTGAAGACCCAGCCACGTTTCATCTTCAATGCCCTTGCTGATGGAAGGAGGTTTGCACTCAAAATCTCACCATACATGGCCCCATTCATTCTGTCCTGTACATGGATCAGTCGTCCTGGTCCCTTTTGCGGAGAAACAGCCCCAAAGCATGATGTTGCCACCCCCATGCTTCACAGTAGGTATGGTGTTCTTTGGATGCAACTCAGCATTCTCTCTCCTCCAAACACGACGAGTTGTGTTTCTACCAAACAGTTCTATTTTGGTTTCATCTGACCATATGACATTCTCCCAATCCTCTTCTGGATCATCCAAATGCTCTCTAGCAAACTTCAGACGGGCCCGGACATGTACTGGCTTAAGCAGGGGGACACGTCTGGCACTGCAGGATCTGAGCCCCTGGCGGCGTAGTGTGTTACTGATGGTAGCCTTTGTTACGTTGGTCCCAGCTCTCTGCAGGTCATTCACTAGGTCCCCCCATGTGGTCCTGGGATTTTTGCTCACCGTTCTTGTGATCATTTTGACCCCACGGGGTGAGATCTTGCGTGGAGCCCCAGATCGAAGGAGATTATCAGTGGTCTTGTATGTCTTCCATTTTCTAATTATTGCTCCCACAGTTGATTTGTTCACACCAAGCTGCTTGCCTATTGCAGATTCAGTCTTCCCAGCCTGGTGCAGGTCTACAATTTTGTTTCTGGTGTCCTTCAACAGCTCTTTAGTCTTCACCATAGTGGAGTTTGGAGTGTGACTGTTTGAGGTTGTGGACAGGTGTCTTTTATACTGATAACAAGTTCAAAACAGGTTCCATTGATACAGGTAATGAGTGCAGGACAGAGGAGCCTCTAAAAGAAGAAGGTACAGGTCTGTGAGAGCCAGAAATCTTGCTTGTTTGTAGGTGACCAAATACTTATTTTCCACCATAATTTGCAAATAAATTCTTTCCTAATCAACCAATGTGATTGTCTGGATTTTTTTTCTCATTTTGTCTCTCATAGTTGAGGTCTACCTATGATGCCAATTACAGGCCTCTCTCATCTTTTTAAGTGGGAGAACTTGCACAATTGGTGGCTGACTAAATACTTTTTTGCCCCACTGTATATCATGCTTTAGGGATCACTGTGGAAGCTGACCATCACTCTAGTAGTCAGCCCTAGTACAGTGATCATGATTTTCTGGATCTTGTGTGGAGAGGCTGCACCCTGACCATAGGGATCACTTGTTGGACACCACCGTAATTCACAGAATGCCTTTTCTTCAAACAATACAAGCTGTTCTTAGGTGCTAAATGCCTTACTAATACAGAAACATTTGACAGTGTAAATCTGGTCAGGTATTTGCTGAAGGTTTCTTGTATTTGGTTGAGGGGGTAATGTGTATAACACCTTATAGCTAAATCTTTATAATAGAGCTGCACTGGTTAGTTAAAATTCTGAACATAGTTGGTAACGTTAAAGTGCATAAAGTGCATTCTGTGCATTAAGGTGAAAAACCGTCTGTGCTGCAGGATACCTACTGGGTAGATTAATAGCAGCCGGGGCCATTGACTCCAAATGCTGAGCCTGCCGCTTTGTGTCAATGGACGCAGGCAGGGTGGGCTCGGGAGTGAGCCCACATAGGTGCTCCCATGGAAAGACACTTTCCATGGGGCCACCCGCTAAAGAGGTGGAGCCTGGAGTGCCAGAGGGGGACCCGAGAAGAAGAGGAAAACCATTGCACAGAGCAGGTAAGTATACCATGCTTGTTATTTTAATATTTAAAAAAATAAATAAATGAACCTTTGTTGCTTTAAATGTCTCTCTAAGGTCTCATTCACATTAAAAGCAGGTGTTTTGAGGGGTGTTAACGCTCCTCAAACACCTATCAAATTATATTATGGACAGCGCACATTGCTGTTCACATTATCAAAACCTGAAGCATTCGCATTGTGTCACTTCAAAATTGAAGTCTCCTGTCAAGTCTGGAGGAGTTTGAAGCCTTTCAGTGCCTCCCTTTCAAGTCTGGCAGGTGTTTGCGGTTTGTTTGCAGTGCAGTTGCAGCACGTTAATTACATTACAGTTTATTATAGGCGTTGTTGGTGCAGTTTTAACGCTTGTGTAAAATGCTTAGAAATGCTCCCAAAATGCCTTATGTGTCGTTTTGATGAGTTTTCTAGTGCTTGCAAAACACCAGTCTAATACCCATGCTAACCTTATAGGAGCATTTGGTAAGTGTTAGAAATTTAGTCAAGGGAGAACCAGCCCTAAGGTAGCAGCCATGCTGATGTGCAGACACCTAATGTTGCCTTATAAGTATTGGTTTTAGTCTCTAAATAAATTTATTTGGAGCCCCTTTGATTCCTGTGCTGTACGCAAGCGTTGCCCTTTTATCCTAAATTTTGATTTGGGCTCCTTTTTGTATTGCTGATTCTCACCATCTATGATTGACTGTTAATGGGCTGTAGAGGCCGTAGTATTTAACAGGTGGATAACTCTAGGCTGGGGTGTAATCTGTTATGGCAGTTGTGATCTCACGTGTAGTCGAAGACCCAAGGAAGCACCACAGGACAATGGATTTAGGTACAGTTAGATGCTAAAACACAGTTGATAATCAATATTTTGGGCCAGGTCAAGTTATCTTATAGATTATGTGAAAAATACAAAATTCATGCATCTTGTTGTATAATGAAGAGGTTATTAAGCTTTAGTTAGTGTGTGTGTGTGTGTGTGTGTGTGTGTGTGTGTGTGGTGTGTTTTTTAAATATATATATATATATATATATATATATATATATATATATATATATATATTTTATATTTTTTTTTTTTTGTGATTTTGGTGTGTTTTTTTTTGTTATATATTTTTTTTTTTTCTGCATATTTGTAAGGTGACCTCTGCATAGTCTTTAAATCTTGTGGATTATTTAGCACATTACAGATTAGTGTTAGCATATGCCTCAAATAACATGTCCTAATCTTCCGTGCAGGTTTTAGCCTCAGATGACACTTGCCTTGTATGCTGGTGCTTGTGTTTTTGTCAAATATTCCATTAGTATTACAGTAGTAATAAGATGAACACATTTTTATATTTCATAATGGCGACTTGCTTTTTCTTCTGTAGGCTTTTTTATTTTTATTTTTTTTTTTTGTAAACACTGCTTTTGTTTCTTTTAACTTCTCTTTGATCTGCTAGATTCCAGAAACTTCTGGTTCAGAAATCTATATTGTGAATACTCAAGAGTTCTCTCAGGTATTGCTATATATTCTTAAGACTTTATTATAAGTTTCTGAGAGACTCCCCAAATAATGGTTTTATTCCATTTTGTTGGAGCTGTGTGTGGGTTTTGCGTTTTCATTTTACTGCTGGTAAAAACATGTTTTTGCTACTGTCTTTTTAATGCATGAAAATTGTGTGGTTATTTATTTATTTTCTCGGCCTGTTAAGACACCCACATTTTTATTTATTTCTGTACTTAGTGGATGTATCTGCTGTTACACAATTTAGGCTTCAATCTTTCCCTTTAGTAATTCCTTTAATTGTTATATTAATGACCTGTGCTACTTTTGATCAATATGTCCACTATGTTTTCTTAGTTGTGCTCCAAAGTTTGCATACCCTTGGATAATTGGTAATATACAGCAGTGTTTCTCAACCTTTTTTCAGTCAAGGCACCCTTTAAAATAATGGACAGTCCTGAGGCACCCATTTAAAATGATGGAGAGTCTTAAGACACCTAATTCTAAAATGGGGTGCCTCCTAGACTGTCCATGATTTTAAAAGGACACCCCATTCTAAAATGTGAAAAACAATTTTAATAGTTTTATATAGCGCAGCAGCATCCACACATGTAGGACACCCAACATTAGAGGTGGTTTATTCTTCCAAAGCAAACACACGTTTGCACACTGGTACTGAGAATGTATTCCAGTGTTCCTCTTCTCCCTCAGTTTTTTTCCATCACCGAGCTAATATGACCCCAGCACTGATGGAGAGGGGCGGGGGAGGGTCAGACTAGGATGCTGTACAGGCAGCTGACATCCTCCTTATCAACTGATGTTATTGGTTGTCAGGATGCCGGTGGCTGGAAGGTCATAATGGTGCACAATGAAAACCTGTGGCTTTGTGTAACTAAAAGGCAGGCTTCTTCCACCCTCTGGCTTGTATACAAGTTTTGAGCAATTTTTAGACATTTTGCCAAGGCACCCCTGAAGAAACCTCAAGGCACCCCAGGGTGCCTGGGCACCCTGGTTGAGAGGCTGATATACAGTATGTACCATTTTTAAAGAGAACATGAGTGAGCAGGCAGAACAAATTTTTTATTTCTTATGACCACGTGCAATCTTTTGTAATCGTTGTTTAACCACTTCAAGTCTGGACACTTTTACCCCCCCTTCCTGTCCAGGCCAATTTTCAGCTTTCAGCGCTATCACGCTTTGAATGACAAGTGCGCGGTCGTGCAATACTGTACCTATATGAATTTTTAGCATTTGTTTGAAAACAGATAAAGCTTTATTTTGGTGATATTTATTCACCACTGGGATTTTTATTTTTTTTGCTATGTAAATGAAAAAGTAAAAAAATTTTGAAAAAAGTGTATTCTTTATAAAATTTTGCAAATAAATAATATTTCATCAAATCTTGGCCATTTAGTTTATAACCAAAAATTATAATTTTTAAACTTTTTTTTTTCTTTTGTATATTATATTATGTTTTTGTTTTAACATACTATCACCCTAGCAGTACAGTGTCACCATAGTGACACTGTACTACTTGTGGGGGGTGATGAAGATTTTTTTTTTTTTTTTTTTTTTTTTTTACACTGATTGCTTTTACACCCATAAAGGCTGTAAAAGCAATCATTTCTCCTTCTCTCTGGCTGCATTCTTGCAGCCATTGAGAACTACTGTGTGAGCTGTGATTGGTCACAGCTTGTCACATGGTATAAGGCTGTTATGAATGGCCTTGTACCATGTGACCTCTGTGATCATTCACAGATTTCACACGTAGTGAGCAATGATGTCAGAAGTGGTATCTTGCTTACTACTCTGCATGTGATCACTGATTGGCCATTCAGTGATCACATGATCGGGACCTCGCAGAGAGGTCCTGTACGATAATCAGGTTTCCACTGTGTCCGGAGGACACAGCGGGCAACAGATCATGGTGCTGTGCGCTCCTAGGGAGCACGCACAAGCAGGGGGCAGGGAGGTCGTTTAGAAACGGCCACCCGACCCTGCACTGCCACCGTCTGGCCGTTTATATACAACGGCCGGATGGGAGGTGGTTAAGAGGCCTCGAATTCTTGCAGGTGGTATAGCTGCTCATTCGTCTTGGCAAAATGCCTTCAGGTCATGCAGAGTCTTTGGCCGTCTGACATTAACTACACATTTTGAAATCGCCCTAGAGCAGTGGTCGGCAACCTTTTTTTTTCAACTGAGCCAAATCTCGCCAAAACCACGATTGAAATTTTATTTTGAGAGCCACATTTTTAAAACTGAAAATACATCCCCCATATAGTAATACATCCCCCATAGTAATACATCCCCCATAGTAATTCATCCCCCATATAGTAATTCATCCCCCATATAGTAATTCATCCCCCATATTGTGTCAATTCACTTACCTTTGCTCCGCGCGTTCCTTCGCCGTGTTCCCGCGCCGTTCCGGTCTTCAGGGCGGACTGTGAGAGGAGAGGAGTTCGTCACGCTGCCCCACCTACATCCTGGCTGCCCCGCCTACATCCTGACAGCCAATGTTTGCCACGCTCCGCGGGCCGGATTAAAAGGTCCGCCAGGCCGTAGTTTGCCCATTGCTGGGCTAGCTGCAGAGTCCTGACTTTTGGGGCGGCCGCCCGAGAGGAGGGAGGGGAGCGGGCGCCGGGCACACAGAAGAGCCGCATTAAAGTGCGTAAAGAGCCGCATGTGGCTCGCGAGCCGCGGCTTGCCGACCACTGCCCTAGAGTGACTCGATGATTATCAGGACACTGTGATGGCCACTTCAGAACCTTCACCTTTTTCTGCTGTAACCACTGAAGGGTCAATTTGGCCTTGTGCTTAGGGTCATTGTCCTGCTAGAAAGTCCAATACTATCCCATGCTCAGCTTTTGTGTAGAAGAATTCAAATTGTCTACCAGTATTCTCTGATAACCTGTTGCATTCATCTTGCCATCAATGTTCACATGATTTGCCTGTGCCTTTAGAGCTCCCCCCCTGACAAAAAAAAAAACCCTCAGTGAGCCACCACCATGCTTCGCAGTGGGGATGGTATTCTTGTTAAAGGCCTTGTTGACCCCTCTGCAAATATGGTGCTTATGATTGTGACCATAAAGCTCTATTTTTGTTGTTGTCACTCCAGTTTACAGTGTGCCAGAAGCTGTGAGGCTTTTCAGTGTTTTGTCAGGCAGTGTGGTTGTTACAAGGAGCACAAATGTCTAGTTGCCAGAAACAAGCCTTTACTGTGACAAAGCCACAAAAAAGCCCAGTTACAATATGCTTTTTTTCCCAGAGTAGCCTGTATTTCTATTGAGAATATCTGTTTTTTTTTTTCCTTGTATCATGAACAATTCTTCTGGCAGTTGTGGCTGCAGTCTTTCTTGGTCTACCTGACCATAGCGTGGTATCAAGAGATTTCCGAATTTTTCAATTAAGCAATTGACCAGTACTGACTGGCGTATTCAAGGCTTTGAATTGGGCTCGGTATCTAGCCTGCTCAGTGCATCCACGTGAGAGAGCTAACAAACTCATTGACTATTTATACACAGACACACACACTATTTGCAATTTTAAAAAACCACAGATGTGGGAAATTAACCTTTTAATTGCCATTTTGACCCGTGTGTCTGTACCAAGGCCAAACATTCCAGGGGATGGAAACTTTTTACCAGGGCCATTTGGGTGATTTCTGATCACTATTCTTTAATAAAAGACTTTTTTTTTTTTTTTTTGCATGATCTGTCATATTTGCAATATCCATGTCAAAATTGTTCCATTTCTGCCAGGGTATGCACACTTTTGAGCACTACTGTACATGTGGCTAAATTTGGAAAAGATATCCCTGACTTCTCAGGTGATCAAAGGGATCTCATGACTCTTCATAGAGGTTTGTTTGTGTGGTCAGATGACTGATCATACAGGCCAGTACCTGTCATTACTAGTGTCTTTTGACCCAATTTACTAATACTGCTAAATATTTTCTATTGGAGTTTTAGCCAGACGTCATTTTGTGGGAAAATTTATATGTCGAACAATGGCATTCAAGCCATATCTTTATCAGTCAGCAGTTTGGACATAGGTTTCAATTTGTGTCTGCATGCTAGGTTAGGGAATGGTTGCCTGGTGTGCTGCATTTAATGTGTAGTTTTGTGCCTAGTCCAACAGCTTTGTATAGAGATCTCAACATCCTTTAACCGCTTCCCGACCGCCCTATAGCAGAAATACTGCTACAGGGTGGCATGGGTCGGCAAAATCACGTGTGTATATATATATATATATATATATGCATGTGATTTTGCATTTCCAGGCAGGGGGCATGAGCGTGAGCCTTACCCGCACCATTATTACACGCCAGCGCCTGGTGATTACCGAACATCTCCAGGGAGGAAGGTTGTTTTGTTTACAAACAGCCTTCCTCCCTGTCAGCTCAGGCACACTGCTCGGGATGGCTGTGCACAGCACAGCCATTCCGATCAGTATGCTTACAGTGAGGCACACACCTCCCGCTCCTGAGTAAAACACTCCCTACATATAGTTAACCCTTTGATCACCTCATGTTAACCTCTTCCTGCCCAGTGTCCTTAGTACAGTGTCTGGTTTTTTTTTTTTTTTATTTTAGCACTGATCACTGTATTGGTGTCACTGGGGATGTCAGTGACACCAAGTTAGTTCCCCCCAGTGTCAGATTGTCCACCGCAGTCCCGCTAAAGGTCGCTGATCGCCGCCATTACTAGTAAGGGAAAAAAAAATCCCAGTATCTATACCGCCATTTGTAATATCTACAACTTTCACGTAAACCAATTCATTTACACATATTGGGATTTTTTTTGTTTAGCAAAGACATGTTGCAGAATCAGATGCAGAATGACAACTCATGGGGCCCCCAGGCAATAGGGGATCATGGGGCCCCTGTGTCCTTGCCTAAACTCAAAAAAGCCTATGAAAAAGGTACCAGGGGCATCTCATGGGGCCCCCTACTGACCTCGGGCAGTGTCCGAGTTTCCAAATGGTCAGTCTGCCCCTGCGCAGAATACACTTTAGCCTAAATTTATGACGAAATTTAGACTTTTTTTTGTAATTTACTGGACATGTTTAATGGCAAAAAAGTCAAAATATAGTTTTTTTGGGGGCTTTTTTCTCAAAATTGTTTTTTCTCAAAATTTTTTTGAAATTTTATTTATATAGCGCAAAATATAAACACAGAGGTGATCAAATACCACCAAAAGAGGGGGAAAAAAAGGACGTAAATTTAATTTGGATGCAGCGTTGTACGACTGCGCAATTGTCAGTTAAAGTAATGCATTGTCCGCAATGCAAAAAATGGCCTGGTCAGGAAGGGGAGTAAATTCTCAGGAAGGCAAGGACAGCTGTGTTCAGATACTCTTGCTTGGCTGGTATATTCATAATAGAGCAGTGCTTTCTGTACACTCTGAGACATGAGGGACATGCAGATACTTCCAGTAAACACTCTGATTGCATTTCCTGGATTTCTGCATATTTATTCTTTACCTCCTTGCATATTTCTTTTTTGTTTTTTTTCCATTTGCCAGAGAAGCCTAATTTCTGTGTATTTGATGCATATTATTCTTTATTGGAAAGTGGATTATGACCAAAACACTAGACCAAGACATTTCGCACACACAAATTTGGTGCACCTGCTTTCTTTTTCTAGCTGACACTGGAAATATTGTATAGAGGCATAGATTTGTGGAGAATTGTAGCAGATCTTAACTGTTCATCTTTGATAAGGCCATTATTCACTTTTTGTTTTTTAACAGTTTGCCGACCACCCTATAGCAGTTGTTCTGCTACAGGGTGGCTCTTCTGTGCAGAATCACACATTATATACACATACATGCGCGTATATATATATATATATATATATAAAATTTTGCACTTCCTAATGTGGAGGGTGCGCCCCTTCTGCTGTGATTAGTCACAGCAGAAACTGATCAATAGGTGCCAGCACCTATGTAAACAAAGCAGAGCTGTGTCCTGTCAGCAGCGATCTCCTGGAATTTCTTTCCCTACTAAAGAGAAAAAAATCTAGCAGATTGACTAGTAAAATCACCACACTGTGTACACAAAAACACTGGTTGGGCACTGGTTTGATCGCCCTAGATGTTTAAGTGTCAGACTGTCTGCCTCAATATCGCAGTCCTGCTATAAGTCGCTGATGGCCACCATTACTAGTATTAAAAAAACAAAAAACAATTCCAGTATATATACACCATAGTTTGTACACTGTCTTTTGCGCAAACTAATATACGCTTATTGGGATTTCTTTGTTTAAGTGGCTATGTTTTATAAAAAATTTAAACTTTTTGCTATAAAACATATCCAGTAAAACAAACAAAAAAAAACACTTTAATAAATTTAGGACAATATGTATTCTGCTTTATATTATTGGTTTGTGTTTATATACTGGAATCTCTCGCCCCCCCCCCCCCCCCCCCCCAAAAAAACACAGAGGTGATCAAATACCACCAAAAGACAACTCCATTTGATTTGAAACGTGTGTCATTTCACCCCCCCAAAGTTAATGCAGCGCTGTGTAGCAAAAAATGGTCTGGTCATGAAGGAGGAGGGGGGGGGGGGGGGGGTGAATCTTCCGGAGGGCAAGTGGTTCTCTTCAGGCTCTGTGTGCTGTTGACAGATCCACTTTACCAATGCTTTAGCTGTAGTTTGGAAGTTATGGGCTGACCATTTGTTGTATTGCTGTAAAAACACTCTTTAATTTATTTGCAGGAAAGAGAATCTCTTCAGAAGCAACTTGATGAGGCCAACCGAGAAGCCCAGAAATATCGCCAGCAGCTTCTTAAAAAAGAACAAGAGGCAGAGGCATACAGACAAAAATTGGAAGCTATGACCAGGCTGCAGACTAATAAAGAAGTGGCTTAAATGCCATGTTGAGCAGACTTAAATATACCCCCCCAAATGATAATGCAGACCTGTGTACTGTAACATGCCGCAAGTGGACATCCAAATAAGAAGTGTTCTGCAAGAGAACTGATCTTTAAAAAGAACCTGTATTATACAATGCTGGTCTTAAAAGGTCAATCCTTGTGAAAAGTATTTAAATGAAATACTGTATATATATTTTTGTTTTCTGCAATGAAGTTGATGCTGATTTTTTTCCGGAAGGATGCAGAGATCCCTTTTGTGAGTAAATATGGCAAGATGTAAGGTTTAAGAGAGGGGTCCATATGTACCCCTTTTACATCATACATAGCCTACAAATACTAAGATCTGCATTGCTTTCTATAAACAGATCAACGAGGCCTTCAAGGTTACCATTTCCTTGTGGAAATGTTTGTACAGCTTTTTGTTTTTTGCCTTTTTATTTGAAACTTTTTGTTTTATTTTTCTTTTCTACTAAGCAAAATGTTTTATATGTTAAAATTTGAAAACTGCAGGTAGACTTACATGTATATGAAGCTAAAATATTTTTTAAAAGAGACTTTTGTACATATACTGCATGTGGCTTTTCTTTTTTTTGTATTCCCTCCTTTTGCACATATCAAGTTTTTGGTTTTTCATAATGGATGATTCTCACTACATGCATAACCTATATTTGGAAAATTGACAGCAGTATAGGTTTTGCTGTTGATGGCGTACTCCCTTTTTTTTTTTTTTTTTTTTTTTCCCCATACCTAACTCTGTCAATAACAGAAGCAGTCCTTTGACAAAAATGGACGTGAAAGTTGAACCTTTGCTTTGCTATTGTATTTGTTTTTAGTCATGCATTCTTTTGTATTTTTAGTTTTTTTTTTTTTTTTTTTTCATTCAATAGCACATCTGTTCTATGCACAGACTACAACCCATATTTTATCAAGCCTGCAAAATTTTCAAGACTTCATTCCAAGAAACTGGAGTGTCAAATCCAATAACCAATATATTGTTTAATAGGAAGTGAACTGTAACCATGCAATATAATTATCTTTCTGTTAAACTTAAAAGTGGAATCATTGGTTTTATTTCCCAATATTCTGGATTGTTCTATTCTTATTTTGCGATTTGCATAACATCAGAAAAACATGCCCTAACGTTTTGCTATTAAGAAACATGGAACAGATCATTCTCGCATGGTACAGCAGGCTGTCTCTTGGGCAGGTGAACACTCATGTATGAAGTACGGGGTGTCTGTTGTATGCATAAATAGACCAAATATGTAAAAAGGTAATATCTCTCAGGAAATTCAGAGATCTGCCACTATTTTGCATAAAATAATTAAGGTGTTTTATATATAATTGTTTACAGAAATCCACCATTCAGTGGTTTATAGACCAGTTGTCTTTATGTCTAAGAGAATTATTAAAGAACTCCAGTATAAAGGGATTCTCATGTGTTGCTCGCTGTGTGCTTGTGACTGTTTTTACACCAGTACCTTAAAAACCAAAGCAGAGGCAGAGTTGATGATCGTCTGTGCATTTTACAATAAAGGAAACCTACTTATGACAGCTGGGCTCTTACAATCCTTGTTACCTGGCAATTTTGTGGTTTCAGTTCTTTCAGTCACTGATGATGAATAAGTATACAGCAAGTGAAATCCTAGCGTATTGGATACTTGTGTCAGAATGAAGACTCAAAGTACTAAAACCATTGATTGGCATGGAAGTCAGGCATTTATTTTTGGAAGCAGAGGTTAGAAGTGGCAGCCCACATATTCTCTTTTTACAAATTAATTTTAAATAAATAATTCAAGATAAGTAAAATCACTCAGTGTGCTTTTATTGTGGTAGTGGTTTCCATCATCGTGCAGAAACCGCCTCCAGCACTTGCTCTTGATAGATATAATTCTTGAATAAAGTTTTATAAGTTGTAACCCGGTCATAATTTTATGGCTGTTTGTGTCTCTATTAGTGAGCTTTACAGTCCATATCAGGACTAAAAGTAAGGGAAAATCCCAAATTTTGAGTTCTTGCCAGAGCCGGAATAAAAGTGAAATCTCTCAATAGTGACAGTTGATTAAGGGGATATACAGTCCCTTAAGAGACTTCTTTTCACTTCCTGTTGTGTCTACAGGACTTAAAGTGAAGGGAAATCTCCCCAGTGGAACACATGGCAAAAAAAAAAAAAAAAAAATTAAAAAAATACTATACGCTGTTCAAAATGTTTTGGCTTGAGATGTACTTAAATGGTACTATTGCCATTCATTAGATGTGACTGTATTTGTTTTGTTTTAGGCTCTTTTCCATCTGTCTCATCCCTCTAGCTGCTACATCTGCAGATCAGCTTGTTCAGATTACCAGATGAAAATAAAGGAAAGCGTAAAAAAAAATTAAAGTGGTAGTAAACTCATGTACTTTAAAAAACAAAAAACAAACAAAAAAAAAAAGAACTCTGCAAGTTAAGAGCATACTCGCACATTATGAAATATTTGCCTTAAAACAAAGCCCTCCAGCGATGCCCAGTCACTGCTGCAAAGGTTTTCATCTTCACAGTCTTCCTTTCCAGCTTTGTGGGCTGTGGCCGGTTGAATGGCCAAGCCGCTATGATGTCACAGCACAGTTCTGCAGGACCAGCACGGGTATGCCATTCCTTCAGGGCACATGCGCCAGTGACATCACTGGCTGGAGCAACACTGAGAAATCTGAACGGTGCAGGTTTAGGGGAAATTCCTTCTTACATAAACCTACAGGTAACATTTTTACGCTTACCTGTAGGTATAAGTATCCCAGCGGAGGTTACTACTGCTTTAATACAGCCATCTTGTCTAAGAATTGATAAGCTGCAATATATTTGCTTTTAATAGTTGAAGTCACAAAGTTCAACCAACTTACCTTTTATAAAATACCCGATAGAGAATGGAAATTTAAATTTTAGTAGAGTGCTAAACAATCCATTACTAATAGGTTTTGGAAACTCCATACTTAAGCCCCCAAGTCTGTACTCAAGCAGGGGTCTCTGCAAGGATGGTATTTGCAGCAGGAAGAGTAGGACCACCCAGAGTTTGGCAGGAACAAAGTCATGAGCTGTGCCACTGAGCTTCTTACCTCTGAAATCCCCAAGAGTTATGAAAAGATGGTAGGGGACCTATTATACCAGATACCCCGTTTTGGGTTTTACTTCTGTGTATTTGTGATGGACTTCAGATCCTTGTTGCATTAAATTTCCCCTCTCATACTACAGGGTGCAGTAGATGTAGAGAGAGAGTGGTAATAAAACCAATTAACTGATTGTCCTGCATTTCTTTATCGTACATTACGGCACACAGAGCAGGCTATTCATGACTATGTAGGTTATAGGTCACCTATAGGTGAATGGACACTGGCTGACCAATCAGAGAGGAGGTCCTCCCCTATATAACCCCCTCCTATACAGGATGTACTTCAGTTTTTTTTGCCAGTGTCTATAAGGTAGATGGTCACTGAAAATGTTGCTGTGCTCTTGGAGCATACCTGAAAGTCCAGAACGGTTCCATTAGAGAATCAAGGACTTTAATCGGATCCATTCGGAAAGCTGTGAGCCAAAATGGATGGTACTCGAGCCTCACTGGATAAAGAGAAGAATCGTCGAGGTTTTACCTGTAATGCAGCCTTACGGCATTGGGCCCTGCACAAATGGAATCCTGTGCAGTTTTAAATCTGACCAATGCGCTTCCAGTAGGGTGCTATACGGGTCCAAGGCAGTGACCCCTCACCATGGTCCTTGAAGGTTTGTATGACAATGCCCAACATGATTGGTGAAGGTTAGTGCCTGATGAAGTCAGGGACCTGAGGCGGGACCAGTAACATATCTCCTTTTTTTCTCGCTGTAAAGAGAAACAAAGCTCTAAACTGGAGGGAAAAGGAGAGGTGTGACTAAGTTTCTACCGGGGGAGTGCTTGCAATTGCTCCAGAGATGTGCTTGCTCTTCTGTTTTTGGCCACTAGAGGGAGTATAGCTGACACACGCACAGTAGTGGAGGGGAACAGAAGTCGGCCATATTTGTCTATCTGGAGGCCAGGACACACGTGGGCTGCTGCTGGGGAATCTGTGGCTGGGACACAGCAGGCTATTTTGTGGGAGCACCTGAATACTCCCCTGAGGGGGAAGCGTGAACTAGTCAGTCAGGAGCTGCCCTAGGTGGCTCATAAGGCAGCATTTGCATTGAGCGTTTTTACTTCAGTACACTACTTGCATAGCTGTATCTTGAGATCTGTGTTTACTAGTGGAAGTGCACAGGTTTGCACTATCTGAATTCATGTCTTCCAGAAAGTGGAGTGGGGGAGGTGCTGCAGGAAAGGGCATTAATGTACCACCACAAGCACCTGAGGAACCTAGCCAAAGGTCCGCTGTAATATCCTCTCCTGATGGGCTAGAAGCGACTGGGCAGTCTGAGCTGCTGTGTCTATTTGGCGTTATGGTTGTTACTGGGGCTTCTGCCTCAGCATATGTAACAAAGGAGGATCTTGCTTCAGCCTTAGCGGATTTAGAAGATAAAATCGGTGGGATGATTGCATCGGTTTCTCAGGGGACTAAAAGCAGGATAGATCCCTGTTACTAGAATCCTGCTGCAGCAATGGGTGGAACCTGAGGATGAGGAAGAGCTGGAGGAAGGTCAGGTAGTAGAATTTCTGTCTGAGGAAGTCAAGCCTGAGGAGAAGCAGGTGGTCTCTGCCTCCCAGTCTCAGAGCTTTTTACTCCAGAACCTCACTGATGGTAAGATCTGGATTCGGGCTACCTCAGATAGAAACCTTTGAGGTTACTTATTCTTCCCTGGGATTTTTTGAAGCCTTCAGAGTACTCAGGCCTTTCCAGTTTTCTACCCCATGGAACAAAAGTTTAAGAAACGGGGGTTGCCTGTAGAAAATGCAGCTGTTGAAAACCTGTACATTATCAGGGATAATTCAGGGATTTAAGGACCCAGCAGATCAGAAGCTAGAGTCTCTCCTTAAGGCCTCCTCCCTGGTAGCTTCT